CAAAATAATTTGAGACAAGGGTTAGTTTTTAGTTCTTATTTAATAATTAGACCATTTTTATAGGCTATGTCCTGCGCGCATGATGCATGTATGTGCAGGAAAATCCTGTAGATCACTGTCAGCAAATATCTACAAAAAAAGTTTTGGCACCCATCTATTTCATATGACTCATGGAAACGTGTTTTGTGTATGTATGTTCTTATTTATTTCAACAATTACATTGCACTGGTTTTAAAGAAATATGTGCGTATTTTGAGCCCGAAAACTTTGACCTTTAGCCTGTTGAACCCTGAAGTGCCAAAATGTCGAAAGACGTCATTGAAAATGTGCGCATGCGCCTTACATCTATGAGTCTACTTCCTTCATCTTCCGGACGGAAATTTTAGAAAAATTTCTCGATTGATAACGCCCTGTCGGCAAATCGTAAGTGAAAATAAACCGGAGTTGCATTTATCTCCAATATTCATGTTCTTTAGATGAAGAATTTCTCGATCCTTTTCTCCATAAGACCATTATTCACTCATAAATTGCGTTATTTATGCCGGGAAAGGCAAACCTTTCAACCAAAATGGCGGTTGTCGAAGAGATTTTTTATTCACTTCCCACCACTGTCATTTCTCTGTCCCTAGCACCGTATACCTCGTCTAACCTATACTTTGCAACCATTTAATGCCGACAGATTCCTTATCATTCTTTTGTAAGCATCACATGATTTTGAAAATATAAAATTAATCATATTTATCTGAAGTGACATTGAATTCTGCTACTTTGCCAAGTGGCCCAAATATTGGGCTTGTCATCTTTGAATTAGCAGTAAATAATGATTAGATTTTGTTAATGTGCAATGAATTGTAAAAACTCTACTACAATGTTGACATGTATTTCAGAATCTTACAAATTGAAAAAAGATGCAGACTATAAAATGCGTTGTGGTTGGTGATGGTGCTGTTGGTAAAACCTGTTTATTGATATCATACACAACAAATAAATTCCCCTCAGAGTATGTTCCCACAGTAAGTATAACCGGTAATCAATCTTGATTATCTTCTCTTTTGTCTTCTCTTTCTAAATTTTCTGTATCATGTATTGTCTGAGATCACAGTCTTATTATCACTTTCAAGAACAGATCTTATGTGTTAGAAATTCGGAAACTTCAACTGAAGATAGTTTAATTTTTCGTCTTGGTTATATTTTTATCAAATCAAAGTCATTCTAGGACTCTCTAATATTTAACACCTGTGCTGGTGCCTTTCCTTGAATAGTAACTTGTTACCTATTACCTTTCAACCACCCTAACTCTAATATAAAGATGATATTTCAATCCAATCAGAGAAATAATTGGTACAATAGTCAAGCTTATTACAATCCTTGTATAAATATAAAGAAATATTGTGAATTTTGTCAAATCTATTCCCAATATTTTCAAAGCTCTAAGTTATAAGCTTAGACAAATATAGAATGATAAAATTTTCAATGATTGATATTAAGTGTGTTGCATTGATTTTTACTAAATTAATGTGTAATTGTGCTATTTTGTTCAATATTTTAGGCAGTTTTCATTGATTAAGCTTACTGTGTTATTTTGTCTGTTCCACAAATATTATATTTAATATACTTGTATTGAAATTTCTGGACTATTGTCCTTTAACCTTAGGCTAAGATATTTCTGGATAAACGCTATAAAATGGAAAAAAAAGAAACCAGTAACAGTTGTTCCTTCACTATTCATTATGTAAATATGCTATTTTTTTAGGTATTTGATAACTATGCTGTAACTGTTATGATAGGAGGTGAACCCTATACACTGGGTTTATTTGATACAGCTGGACAAGAAGATTATGACAGATTACGACCATTATCCTACCCACAAACTGATGTATTTTTAGTCTGTTTTTCTGTTGTCTCCCCTTCATCATTTGAAAATGTTCGGGAAAAGGTAAATCTCAAAATTCTAAAAATGCGCTGTGGTTATTAAGTGTTAAGGAATGTAGATAACATGTATTTTGAAACCGGCACAGCATTTGGATTTTTAAAGAACTGAACTATCAAGTGGCAATCTCTAAATTTAGTTAACCATAGCATATTGAAGACTGGGTTAATTGAGTTAATACCAGTTGCTATCATCTACTCAATGGCATGACTGGCTTTAGTAACTTGTCTGGTCCTAGTGTGAGCCTTCAAAAACATAACAAGGATGTTCAAAAAACTATGCTTAGGACAATGATAGTTTCTTTTGGTCATACTTAGATGTATGTAATGTTTATATTGAATGTTGTTTCTTTCAGTGGCAACCAGAAATAACTCATCATTGTCAGAAGACACCATTTTTATTAGTCGGAACACAAATTGATTTACGGGATGATGCAGCTACTGTAGAAAAATTGGCAAAAAATAAACAAAAACCCATCTCATCGGACCAAGGAGAAAAGTTAGCAAAAGAGTTAAAGGCTGTAAAATATGTGGAATGCTCAGCTCTGACACAGGTAAATTAAATAAAGTATCACCATAACAACCAATACAGAAAAACCAGTACAATCATTCTTTGAGAACAATGGTGATGTATTTCATTATCTAGTCTGTCCTAACACAAGGCTCTGTCAATCAATTTACATGACTATCTAGCTCAATCAGAAATTAACATAAAAGAATTAACAGTTGTAAGCTTATTGATTGTTGAAAGTTGGCAATAAAGTGACAAAAGGGTTTCATAGTATCTCTTTGCTAAAATTGTCTTTAAAGTAGTGTTATGCAAAAATATATGATTTTACAGCTGTTCAGTCAAAAGGCAAAAACTAGTAAGCCACAAAATCCTAAAATATATTTTATCTCAATATTGGTAATGATCAGCTACACTGCAGGACCCTTTTCATAAATTTAATTTGGATAAAATCCAGACTTTAGGAAATATTGTAATTGCATTGATTTTTAAAAGGAAATTTAAGGTGAATAAGACCTCAAGTAAGTGTGAAAAATGATAAAAACGGGATTTTTAAGAAAAAAAACTTTTTTTTTTACTTTTGACAATGGCTATTGATTTTGAAGATTTTATTTTTTTGTCTTTCAGAAAGGATTGAAGAACGTTTTTGATGAAGCCATTTTAGCTGCCTTAGAGCCTCCAGAGCCACCAAAGAAATCAAAATGTACTCTATTATAAGACAGAATTCACACAAACAGATGACATTTTACAGTTTTTATTGAAGACATAGAAAATAACAATGAAATACAATAGGTGTATTATGTAACATACCCCTACTCCTACTGATAACTCGATGTCAGCATAATTTATACTAATATGGTGACTTAATTTCACTGTATACACAACCTTCACTCTGACTTCTATAAGTTGAATGCTCAAAATAGACCAAGAGCCATAGAACGTGTTCCTTGTCATTGCCTAAAAAGAAAGTATTTTAACACACTGGATAGATTCTCAATTAGACAGAATTAGTTTCTTAAATAGCCCAGGGGAAGGGACATTTCTATTCTTATACTATTTATAAATCAAATTTTCTTTTCTTTAGTTGCATGCATATACAGTTTATCTTCACTTGACTTAGAGATGTGTTAAGGACAAAATGAAATAAGGGATTGCTTCTGTATAAACACTTAATTATCAGAACATGATGGGTTAACTATCCCATATTCAGGACCAGAAAGGGTTAAAGATTATATATTTAATAGTCTATATATAGTCCTGTTTTCTTGTATTGTTTCAATTGATATTTTATTTTGTATTTTGATTTGAGAATATCATTCATCTTTGTCTGCCTCAACTATATTTCATATTGCTTTAGTTAGAAAAGTGAGACTCAGCTATTTGCTTGATGTAATAAATGATATGATGGCTTTTTGTTCTACGACAATTCCATTTCCTCTTTTCATTAAACTTTTTTTCTGCTATTTATTGTATTGCAAATTTTGCTTTCAACTGAATAAAGTTTCTTAACCCCTTAGTAAAGTTCTGAATATTTAAAATATCTATGTTCAAATTTCTTTCAATAATGACCCAATCTTATATCATATTAGGTGATTTTGTGAATATATATTTGTGCATGTATTATACATTTATCTATTCATTAGCTTTTATATTCTTAGGGTATTTTCATTGACCGTCTTGTTAGTTTCTCAATTAACTTGCCAATTGGTACAGAGAGTGCTCTGGTATACAAACACTAGTACTAATTTGGTATGGTTAGTTAATGAACTTATCAAGTGGTTTTATCACAGTATATTTAAGGAATATGTTAAGTATTTTATCCAGCCACAAAATGGATAGAGTACCCAACAGTGTTTGGATATTTTATATTGAGAGATGAATCTCCTTTGATTCAGGATTTTAGAAATACCTTGTAGTAGGCTGTATACTTTATTTGAAGAGTCATCCCCCTTAGTGTATGGTTCAGTACCAGAAGTAAAAGGTCATGATTTAATGATATACATTTTATATCTCAGACGGAATTTTAACCCAAATTTTGAAAAAATGTACAATATGCTTTTTGATCATGTAATTTCCTTGTTGTGGGATTGTGATATGGTTCAATTGAATCTATCTAAGAGGTGAAAGTCTATTTGTAGTAGAAGCTTCCTGATTAAGTTTTGAATTCAATTTTTGCTGGTACAAAAAAATATTAAAAAGAAACAGAAAATTATTTGTTTTAATATTTTGATTCCCATAAGCACTCATCTATAATTGTCCAATGACAATTCAAGAATGAAAAGCAAACATATTCAACTGTTTTGCATTCGAAAATATTAATTAAAGCTATTTGGAAATTGTAGATAGACAGTGAATTTAATGGCCAATTTTCCTCTCAAATATTCATTTTCATAATTCTATCTTGTGTATAGTTTTATTTTAATTATAAAGATGTAAAAAAAAGTTGTTCAAATTCTCAAACAAACCTGCCAAAATAAAAAATAAGTAAGTTGCAAGTAGTTTCACAATTTTTCAGTTTCAATTTTGGCAGGATTTGTGTGTAAATTTAACAAGTATGTGGCTGTATTGAAAGTTTCATGACTTTCCTTTTGGTACTTGAGGAATCAAATTATGAAGCCACTTTGTACCAATACTGTTTTGTAACATTAAAGCCACTTGTACAATATTTAAATAATCTAAAACCAGGCATGGTGCAAGATCTTGTAAAAAGAGTTTTATGAATAGAATACATGTTTACTGTAAATACACCATTTAAAATCTTTATTATTATATTATTATTCACTGACCGATTTTTCTCTGGCTAATAAACATTAATATTATTAAAAAAAGAAAGATGTTTTATGGTTTATGTATTTGGATGTAAATTTTGTGAACTCATATCTGTCTTTACGCAACTTGTATAGGATCTTGAGCCAACAGTTAAAACTTGACAGTGGCTTAACTACCATAGGGAATGGTTGAACATAGTCCCTGGACCCCGTCCATAATGGACTCCTTATCCCCAGAACAAAAATATAGGCCTACCAATCTTAAACATTAAATAGTATTAACAACAGACTGAACTTCAAGAGGGGTCGAAAATGGAAGGGAGCATGTTAAAAAGAATTCCAGTGGTAAGGCACCTCAACCCACGAGCTCTTACTCATCTAGTTGAATCACTCAATTTTGGTATAACTTCTATTTAAGTGAGTGAAGATCTTTTCAAATTAGAGTGCTTTCCCTTGATTAGAAACAATAATCCTTGTCACTTAATGAAATTGATACTGCCCCTTCAATTATCAACATCAGGTTTGTGAAACCTGGAACAATTCATATAATATAAAATTAAAGGTATATTGACAGCTTGAAACAATATCATAGCCTAGTTCACAGATCATATTACTAAGTCCTCGTTCCAGTGTACCTTTATGTTGCATACCGGGAGAGAGATGATAACGGTCGACAGACGGATGAAATGAATGGAGTTTCACTTCCTACCTTTGTGCTAATGAAGACGTGCAACGCCATTCAGAGTACTATGAGGGGAATTTTGCCCGGACAGTGGCATTAGCATGCTGTTTTTTGATTTCCAATTGTCGAGGGATCTTTATCGTGTACAGCCTGTAGCACACACGGGACCTCGGTTTATTGTCCCACTCGAACGACTAGACGCTTTTTCCATGTCAGCCCCTCTTATCTGCATCACTGACAGGGGGGAACCGGGGTGAAAAATCCGAATGTATTATCTCGACCCATGCCGGGTCTATTCCTGGACCTTTCAAATTAGGGAGTTTAAGCTTCTTACTCACTGAGCCACCGCGGCACCCGGTAAAAAGAAGACACTCTATATAATTATGTCCTGTTCACCGAATTTGACTTGATTTCGCAGATTGTGATTCGTTGTTTATCTGGTGATGTTATCGCTGTGATGAGGTAGTCGTTGTGATCCTATTTACGTTATGATTCGTTTTTTTACGATAGGTATTTTTCGGTTTTCTTGACCCCTCGTAGCTTTCGTAACACTGGTTGTCGTTCAAAGGCTGTGTCCTACACGTATCTTAATCTTGTAGTATGGCTACTTCATCATCTTCTCATTTCTTCAGACGCTGAGATTTTCAGAGAAGCTTTTGTCTCCCGGACTGCCTGTAGTGGAGAAGCAGAAATCAACTTGAAGTTGGTAGAACGAGGCTCGGATCATTTCTGTTGGAGCGTTTGGTTGTTCAGTTTGCATCTGTAGCTTGAAGCTTATATTCCTCGTTTCAGAATGTTTTTTATGTAGACCTGAAAACATTGAGATGGGAATCAGTGATGTGAGATGGGTGTGTGCACGAAAACGAATCAGTGATGTGAGATGGGTGTGTGCACGAAAACGAATAATGATGAATAAATACATTTCGACAAGCATGCTGGTGGTATGAATTGATCAGAGGTGCTGATCCTATGCTAAATCTGTGTTGGTAATGGATGAGATTTACCAAAGATTAGCTGCTACAAATCTATCTTTGTTGGGAGGGGGATATTTCATTTAAGAGTTAATTAATCGGTGACGAGTTTTACGCCACCATGTAATCAAACAAGTAGGACCAATTACCATCTTCAGTCTACTAAGTTTAAGAATGCTTAACACAAGTTTGACTGTGTTTTTGTTTAGATAACATGTTTTCAAGGTTATAAGATAAAAGACGGCATACATGAGATTAATCGATTTTTTTCGACCAAAGTCCGAACGGAAAGTTGACAATGACAATTATGATACCACATATGGTTAAACTGTTAATAGGGAATAGACAAATATACATCCATATTTTAGTATATGCCTTATATTGACCAACACATATCTTTATGTCTTTATAATATGCACTTTTATACTTTTATGCAGCCTGTAAATCTTTATACTGACATATATACAGGCTGTAAATATTTATATTGAGATATATACAAGCCTGTAGATCTTTATATTGACCTATATGCTGTCTGTAGATCTTTATATTGACCTATATGCTGTCCCTAAATCTTTATATTGACCTATATGCTGTCTGTAGATCTTTATATTGACATATATACTGTCTGTAGATCTTTATATTGACCTATATGCTGTCCCTAAATTTTTTCATGACTTTTATGCAGCCTGTAAATCTTTATACTGACATATATACAGGCTGTAAATGTTTATATTGAGATATATACAAGCCTGTAGATCTTTATATTGACCTATATGCTGTCTGTAAAAATTTTTACGACCTATATACAGCCTATAAATCTTTTTATGACCCATATATAGCCTGTTAATCTTTTTATGACCTATATACAGTAAATCTTTATATTGACATATATACAGTCTGTAAATCTTTATATTGACCTATATAGAGCCTGTAAATCTTTATATTGACATATATACAGTAAATATTTATATTGACATAATATACAGTCTGTAAATAATATAAAAGTCTGTAAATCTTTTTTATGACCTATATTACAGTCTGTAAATCTTTATATTGACATATATACAGTCTGTTAATATTTATACTGACATATATACAGTCTGTAAATCTTTATATTGACCTATATATAGTCTGTAATCTTTTTTAATGACATATATAGTTTGTACATCGTTATATTATCCAAAATATATCATGCATATCTTTATATTGACCTACACATAGCAATGTATTAATATACCATATATAGACTGTTTAAAAAGTGCATTATTTCACTTTGTCATACCTGTATATTAATTGTAAAAGAGGTCACTACATACATGCTACGAACATGTGACGATATCTATTTGGAGTGATTTTGCGATAACAGACCACTTTGATATAGCAGTCTTTTAAACATAACTGAGACACAAGTAATCGGTATACTGTAGTAGGCTCTATAATCCAACTTCAGCTTACAATGGCAGAATTAAAAATGGATTATGACTTTCTTGGAAATACTGGTGTAAAAGTGTCTAATTTGTGTCTGGGTACCATGACATTTGGACAGGCCAAGGTGAGATTTTTGTCAAGTTTTCAAGTGATACTGAGAATGAAATAAGTAATCCGAAATACTCATATTTCTACATAGTTTTATGATAGTAATCCGAATTGTCTATCAATCATTGCATACTCAATATTTTTCCCGAAGTACCCAAACCTGCACGGAGCAAGTCAATCAAGATTGTTACAATGGGCTACTTAGACGCTTAAAATGCCGTTAAACATGGATATTGTCCGCTAAATATTGCTCGGAAAACAGGAGTTCAGATTTATATTCTAAAGATAGATACGGATTGAAAATTATAAAGGATTGTACGGAAAGCATTTAAAGGAGCTGAACTAGTTCTTAAAGAAGAGTAGAATTCTTATTAATAATAACAAATAGTCTTCTGTACTGTTGTAGGTTGGATTACCAGGACAGTGTGACGATGAACTCTCACACGAGATTTTAAACCGCTACATGGAATGGGGAGGTAACTTTATTGATACTGCTGATGTTTATTCACAAGGTCTTTCTGAAACTATAATCGGTAAATGGCTGAAAAGGTATATTTCTTAATAACGTTACTTGTCTCTTTCAGTACCAACATTGGGCATTGGTAATGAACATAAAATCGCATAAAGTTGCTAAAAGGGGTATACACCTACTAGAAGTGGTATCTCCCGACCACTTTTGATTAATATCTTCCTCTTACCTTTACAGATCCAATGCAGTATCAACTTTAGATAGCATTTATTTGTGTTTGAATGAGCTATTTTGGTTGTTATTTGCGTGTTTGATAACGTATTAGATCAAACGTGTCGTCTTCATGTAGTTCAGAGGTGAACATGTTACATGGTGTTTTGTCAACTGTCAACGCCTCTATTTCTTACTATTTTATTTTAGTCAAGAACGAAATAAAATAATCTTAGCAACCAAAGTATTTGCGCCGTTAGCTGGTAGTGATATGAACAGTCGTGGACTATCAAGACGTCATATTACTGCTAGTATAGAAAAAAGTCTAGAAAGATTACAGACCAACTATATTGATTTATATCAGGTAAAATTAAAACAGCACGTTAACAGACCCGCAGCTACAATGAGACAAGCGGTACATCGTTTAGGGGGGCAATCCATTTTCGGAGGGAGGCAATAAAAAGATTCAGACAACCACCAATTCCATTACAGCAACTAAACAACATGCACCATTGTCCCTCCGGATATATTTTGTTGCCTCTCTAAACAACCACGTCTGACTGCGGGCCTACGTTAGAATTGTGAAATCCGGTCAGTGCCGTTCGAAAGATGGGAGAATAAACACACATAATGCAGTTCGCAGTGCCTACAGCCAATGAAATGAAAATAAAAGCCCCTTTTTGTCGTTTGAAGAAAATAGTAAATAGTTTGAAAAGGTCAACGATAGAAGCACATATATATATATATGGTATAGTTTTTACCGGAATACTATAAAAAAAACACATGACATTCGACCTACATGGTGGCTACTCATCCAAATTTTCAATTTAAACTGAAAAATTACTGTAAAAAGCAAGCACTATTTATCTGTAATCCATTTCAGATCCATTGCTGGGATAATGGTTCACCAATTAGGGAAACCTTACTGACACTTAATGACCTAGTTCGATGTGGTAAAGTTCGATATACAGGTGCTAGTAATGTCTGTGGTTGGCAATTACAGAAAATAGTGGATTTAACAGAACAACTGGGAATCAGTCCCATGTCTACACTGCAGGTAGGAGTTGGCAGAAAAGGGAGGTGGGAGAATCATTGAACCTCCATTTATCTAACTGTAAATTTTTTTTGTCTAGTTCCAATCTCGAAATATACATACATGTGAAGTCCCAAATATTCAATATGAACATTGAATGCTACGAACTGCATATCTTAGTTTCCGAGAAAGATATGCTGGCAATACCTTACTACCTTCTCGTTAAACCCCGCTTTCAGAAGACTGACCTCTGCGACGTTTCAGCGAGATGAGCGTTGATGTCGTTAGGTCGTTGATGTACAATATACAAATGTTTATTATAATCAAATAATATTAGAACATCACCAATTCAGCAACAATTTCAGTCTATCCTCGGGCTACTTTTTTTCTAATAAACAACATTGCACAAGTGCAATATTAGCATAGGCAAAAAAAAGACCTCTAGCAATCACTTTGTTTTGATTTCAGCAACAATACAGTTTAGCATCAAGATATGATGAATTTGAAGCATTCTGTGTTTGTAAATTAAATGGAATAGCTGTATTGCCATGGAGTCCCCTGAAAGGGTAAGAATATATAACAATATACAGCTTAAATTCACAATAGAATGTTTTTATTCACCATTTAATCCTTGACTTATTTGATCGATGAGAAGCCTTTAATAAAATGTTGAACATTCATGCCAACGACTTACGACGAGCAATTTTGGGATGTTTGTCAGCTATAAATGCTAAATGTTAGAACTGATAATCATGAACGATTATTCATTACAAATAGTACATAACTTCATTCGTTTTTACCTGACATAAGAGGGGTGGGGGTTCTTCATCTCTACCTGAAATATTATATGTATGTCAACAATATCCAATAACTTTAATTTCCCCGAGTAAAGAAAATATCTGTATAGCTACCATTTACATCCTTTCAGTGGTGTTTTATCTGGTAAATATAAGAGAAATCAGAAACCGGAAGAGGTTTCTGGACGAATCGGATGGGTGGCACAACAGGAAAACACTCGTGGTAATCAAGCATGTCCAGCTTGGACTAAACTAGAAGGCAATGAATCAATGTGGAACACATTAGATAAACTAGAAGAAATCAGTAAAGCTAAAGGTGTGTAAACCCTCTTGTTTTCAATCAACCGCTCTTGGTCGATTCTTAAAAAAAATGTCGCAGACTTTTGCCAACTGACAGAAAACAGAAATTTGATTTGAATTACTGGATATACGTGAATTCTTCTAAGCCACAAATTGAATACACCCTCAATATGAGATAGTAAGATGTTATGCAGTTAAACACAACAATATTAACAGTTTAATACAAAATTTAAAAAAAATATATTGAGAAAATAGGTGCTATTCATATTGTTTTCAGGTAAGAGTGTGGCCCAGGTAGCAATAAGATGGTTGATACAGAGAGATGTAGTGGGCTCTGTAATTATTGGTGCAAGAAATTTGAAGCAACTGGATGACAATATGGGAGCCAGTTCTGGTTGGAATCTCTCTGCTGAAGAAGTAAGATCACTATACCTTCTAACATTGCGTTTGTTATTTGACGGAGTATAATTCGTTTTCATATATGAGATGATATACATGATCCAGATTTAAGAATTTCATCTACAAAGCAATATGTAATATTGGGAAGTGTCCTTGGTGCATTATCTTAAGATATATGGATGTCAAAGGGGTAAAAGTTTTGCTTAGCTATTTAAAAGCATATAGTGGAAAATTCTAACGAGACATTGATATTTTATATTTTGACAAGTGTAACTTTAGACTCACTGATCGTTTTCCTCCCCTGTCCGTCCCTTAGATTCTGACACATGCAGTTATATATAAGCTTATTCTTTTTGTACCTTTCAGATGTCTGAATTGGACAAGTTATCTATGCCTGAAATCCCCTATCCATATGAACAAATGTGGCGCTTGAATAAAAATCTAGAGAGATCCAATCGATTTGCTCCTAGTTATTTTGTTGGTAACGTCACGAATTGAATGATAAACACTAACGCCTAATTAATGTCCTAATTATAAAGTATTTACAAACCAATTATTGATGAATTTTAACCAATACACTTTAGGTTAAATTGTTAAATTTTATGTAACGCCAGTTGTGAATTACCACTGCTTGTATATAGGGATAATCAAGGACCCAACCGATTTTCAGGCTAAAGAAAGGGTATCTCATTTGCCTTGAGCGAGACAATATTTATCATTCTGAACAGTTTACAATAATATATACCAATACTTGGAAAACAAATAGTGCATATCGTAGTAAAATATTTGGTATAGGAGAACCTCTTGACCTCCCAACTAAATAGTCATCGAGCTTGCTATATTTATACCCAAAGATACTATGTAATTTTTACCAACAACTAGCTAGTTTACGATATCAGCATCCACTGGAAGCGAACGTTAACTTGTCATCTACCTACCTACCCTATGTAATTTTTTAATTATGTTAAAAATGACAATAAAAAGTTTATTTTGTATGCATGTAGTAGATTGAAGATTCTATAGCCAATTATTACTAGCGAATTCCCGTATAAGCGCGATAACGTATATAAATAGGCGTAAAATCCAGTTATTTTATTTCACTTTAAGTAAATATTCCCGTATCTATAACAAACACGACCTTTCGAGGCCATAAATATCTCGTTCATATCCTGACATTATAGATAGGACTAAATCTAGTGGTACTCAATTGATTTCACTAATTGTTTTCTTAATTAGTTATGGGAATTAGTCGAATGGTTACAATTTTTGAAAATCCAAACTGTTTAGAACGGAAAATTAATGCTAAGCTGTGAATAGACGAGTGCGGTCTCGATTTGTTAACCTCAGACAGCGTACCCTTGTCTATTCGCACGTTAGTTCTACACAAATGCAGAACCTTTTCAGAGGCTATACGGGCATTTAGGGGCATATATAATTCTGAAAATAATGGTGTGGAGCTCTCGTACTTCTCTACCATGAATCACAAACGCACATGTTGATATTTGATAGGTTTTCCTCAACTTTTGTACGTTTTGTTTACTGTTCTGTCAGTAATTCAAGATTTTGATACTCGAGTAACTGTTAGGCACCATATATTAGCAAAAACTGAATCATCGTACCCAACTTGCCAATCAATGATACTCAAACCTGGGGAACTAGTTTCTCCCGGAGATACCCATGAACACCACAGAGGTTACCCGGGAGCCTCAAATTTATTCGAAATTGTCGTGTGTTGAAATATCAGCAATTAGTATATATGTCAAGTGCGGATCAATTCGAGACTTTTTGTTGAATGATTTTCCTCAGTGTGTTATATGTGTAAGGACAGTTACACACAGGAAAGGTGTAGCCTATATTTAGTCTAAACGGAACTAACCAGTAGTAGTATGTCAACGTTTTTGCTGTTTTTGTACAAAACCTCTACACTGTAAAAATTACTTAATAATACCAATATTCTTTTAAAATGATAGTTTTGAAAGTGGCCATGTAAACTGTATTACTGTCCAGTTTGTCAAACAAGTCTTTCTGAGTTATGCATCTTCCCAGCGAAACACTGACTGGATATTAAATGATTATATATAATGAAGATATTGACTATCGTGTTTATAACCGTTCTCAAGAATGACACGTATTGTCGATATGGCTGTTAAAACGACGAGGATATAATATATTAGATGACATATTACATGTGAATTCTGCTGTATAATTTCATTATGCAGGCTTGAATAAAACTCTGAAGCCAGGGATATGTTAATATTCCCCAAAGGCTAAGACTTTAGATTAAAGATTTATGATACATGAGCATATTTGTATATATTCCCCAGATACAGTTCCCGAGACATGTTAAATAGGCATATATAAAGAAAGGCAGGAGCGAAATAATTGACCATATTATGACGCCCTGCTCTGTAATTATAGGTATTCAGTAAATCAGACGCCAGACGGAAATCAGAATAGAGCAAATGGAAGCCATAAGTGTCCCTTATACACACACTCAATAAAGGCTGGATTAAACTCTTCTTAAATTTGTCAGTTCCTTTGAGGCCAATAATTAACATTGCTAAAACACTAAAACGAGAGAAAACAAAATCACCATACCATGCAAACCTAGAAATAAAATGATGTGAATCAAGCAACACATTTTTCGCTCTATATTTTAATGACAAATTACTGTTCAATCTCATCTATTGACTATTTATTCTGTTAATTTATCATTAGGCTGTTAATTTAAAAACTGAAGCTAAAACACTATAATAATGGTTGTTTGTTTCCTAGTATTGAACAGATAATGGAAACCAGAATCGATAAAATAATGTTTAATACATTACGGAGAAGGCCATAGGATTGCGTCCAAAATCTCAACAACTGGCGCACACTCATCGAAATTTTTGACGCCGAGTTGGTCTACGACAAAATTGACATATTTGGCATGTTTGATCGAAATACATCCTGACGACCCCTTTTGAATTATGCGGGTGTTCCTGATAAATTGTCGTGACCAAAAATGTTAACCAATGTGCGTATCACGTGCTCACTTCTAGAAGGCATATTGTTTACGGTAGCCCTACAGAAAACCGATCGAGGCATCACAGTGGCGATAAAATATCGGTAAGTGTGCGCTGACTCTACGTCCGTCCAAAAATTGTACGGCATCATGTCAAAATATTGGTAAATGTGCGCCGGCCTTAATGCATGCGAAATGAGTGTAGGGCAGGTGCTTACAGGACTGTTGCTCGCCAGAAAAATGCTAACCGTACAATTGATCACCAAAGAAATCCACCATCTGCCAACAGGAGCAAATTTTCCTACGATTAATTGTATTTCAGAGCTTGTTCTATTGATTTTTGGAAAAAATTTTTTTTTTAACAAGACGTATAATGAAGAGATTCTTTCCGAAATACACGTAACAGAGGAAGTCAATTTATCCTCTCACTTGTTCTTTAATGCATTCGATTTTATTTTCATCCGGAAGATCTGTAGCAAAGACTGCAAACTATAGAAGTTAGTATGCTATATATAATTGTAGTATTTGATAGTTATGTATCAGGTAACTCGACGCTATCCCAACCTTAACACTGATAAGAGTAAGTTGTCAAGTCCCCCCTGTTCAATAATTATTGAATTTGAATTAAAATGACATGTTAAAGTATATAGTAAATTATCCTCACACGTGTTCAAATTAAGTTGCAAAAAATACCTCAAATGGTAAAATGCTCAGTAAACTGTAAACAATCCCGACACGTATTCAATTCTCAGTAAGTTGTCAATAATTCCACTTTTGTGGTAAAATTCCCTACATCAATTACTGATATTGACATTCCCTGAGTCATGTTAAAGTTCTCAGTGAATTGTAAGTTATAGCAACTAGTTCTTGATGTAAAAATAAGACATGTAGTAAGTTGTTAGTTATAGCAACTAATTCCTGATGTTAAAATAAGACATGTAGTAAGTTGTAAGTTATAGCAACTAGTTCTTGATGTAAAAATAAGACATGTAGTAAGTTGTAAGTTATAGCAACTAATTCTTGATGTAAAAATAAGACATGTAGTAAGTTGTTAGTTATAGCAACTAATTCCTGATGTTAAAATAAGACATGTAGTAAGTTGTAAGTTATAGCAACTAATTCTTGATGTTAAAATAAGACATGTAGTAAGTTGTAAGTTATAGCAACTAATTCTTGATGTTAAAATAAGACATGTAGTAAGTTGTAAGTTATAGCAACTAGTTCTTGATGTAAAAATAAGACATGTAGTAAGTTGTAAGTTATAGCAACTAATTCTTGATATAAAAATAAGACATGTAGTAAGTTGTTAGTTATAGCAACTAATTCTTGATGTTAAAATAAGACATGTAGTAAGTTGTAAGTTATAGCAACTAGTTCTTGATGTAAAAATAAGACATGTAGTAAGTTGTAAGTTATAGCAACTAATTCTTGATATAAAAACAAGACATATTCTTGATGTAAAAATAAGACATGTAGTAAGTTGTAAGTTATAGCAACTAGTTCCTGATGTTAAAATAAGACATGTAGTAAGTTGTAAGTTATAGCAACTAGTTCTTGATGTAAAAATAAGACATGTAGTAAGTTGTAAGTTGTAGCAACTAATTCTTGATGTAAAAATAAGACATGTAGTAAGTTAAAAGTTATAGCAACTAGTTTTTGATGTAAAAATAAGACATGTAGTAAGTTGTAAGTTATAGCAACTAGTTCTTGATGTTAAAATAAGACATGTAGTAAGTTGTAAGTTGTAGCAACTAGTTCTTGATGTTAGAATAAGACATGTAGTAAGTTGTAAGTTATAGCAACTAATTCTTGATGTTAAAATAAGACATGTAGTAAGTCGAAGTTATAGCAACTAGTTCTTGATGTTAAAATAAGACATGTAGTAAGTTGTAAGTTATAGCAACTAGTTCTTGATGTTAAAATAAGACATGTAGTAAGTTGTAAGTTATAGCAACTAATTCTTGATGTTAAAATAAGACATGTAGTAATTTGTAAGTTATAGCAACTAGTTCTTGATGTAAAAATAAGACATGTAGTAAGTTGTAAGTTATAGCAACTAATTCTTGATGTTAAAATAAGACATGTAGTAATTTGTAAGTTATAGCAACTAGTTCTTGATGTAAAAATAAGACATGTAGTAAGTTGTAAGTTGTAGCAACTAATTCTTGATGTCAAAATAAGACATGTAGTAAGTTGTAAGTTATAGCAACTAGTTCTTGATGTCAAAATAAGACATGTAGTAAGTTGTAAGTTATAGCAACTAGTTCTTGATGTCAAAATAAGACATGTTAAAATTCACAGTAAGCTGCAAGATATCCCTACATTTATTATTGATGCAGAATAAAGACGTGCAAAATCAATACTATTATACACACTTTAAAACATTTAGATGAGAAACTTGTAAAAAATGTCCGAGAAAACCAATATAATCAAGTTGGTATCTCACAAGAAATGGTAACAAGTGAACACCATCGTAAATTGAGATAAACTACTCTCTTTTGAGATTAAAAGTTTACTCTGTTGATGCAGGTTGCTTTGATCATAATATTGTAAGGTTTGGTCTTGCTTTGCTACCAAAATCCTCTCGACGATCTGTGACAATTGATTCTGATACTATTTCAATGAAAGATAAATTGTACTTGCTTTCAGAGTATATTTTCAGAATTCAACATAAAGGCTCATTTTTTATTATTATTATTTTTTTTTTATAAGAAACGGGTCCAATATGACACGGGACTGCAGGAGAAAACGTGTTAGGTTACAAAGGAGATCTAAATTATAAGAATAAAACAAAGAAAATTGTAATTTTTTGCGTTAGATTAACAGCATTCCAACCTTCAAAGATCGTCCAAATGTTAAAAAGCTTGACACAATGGCATGTCTTGGTAATAATTAAATTATTGACGATTCTCAAGTATACTATATAGAAAAAAGGTTTGAAATGGTTTCAAGTTAAATAAATAAGAAATAAAGAGCTGCAACTGTCAGTAAATCAATAGTTATTGGCAGAAAACTAAAAACTGTAAATTGTAAATAATTGATCGCTATACATACGATTTGTAAAAGTTCTTATTCAACAGTTTATAGCCCTAAAACGCCGCTGTAGTGTAAACATACATGAAGGCGTAGCATTATGATTGGGCAGAAGGCTAGTTCCATTCCTCTTGAAGCAGACAAATCCATTACCCTTCGAAAAATATATCTACCACCATCACTGTACACTGTATGGAGAAATGTATATTGAACCTTTTGATTATGAACTTAGTTAATGCACAAAGTAATCTCTCTGGCAGACAAACTGGACTCGACATTAGTGATAAAAATATAACTATCAGCCCCGTAAGTCATTGAATAAAGCGGAAATAGAAGTCCAATTTGTTAATGATTTGTGTGATAAAACCAGGTAGTAAATTAATGGACAATTATATTATTGGAAAGTACCATGGCACAGGTAATATCATTCAAATCAAAATTAATATAACTCTTTAGACAGGCCTATTGTTGTGTTGTACAAGAATTCATGAGAGGTTTCTGTTAAACAGTTGGTGTAATCTGTGTTGTTCCAGACAAATCTTGGAAAAGTTTCTGCCAAGCAGTTGGTGTAGACTGATTCGTATCAATCAATTCATGATGAGTTTCTGCAAAACAGAATAGTCTGTGTTGTACCAGAAAAATCAAGTCTACCAGACAGAATGATGACAGGTTTCTGTAAATCATGATGAGTTTCTGCAAAACAGCTCGAATAGTCTGTGTTGTACCAGAAAAATTATGTCTACCAGACAGAATGATGATAGGTTTCTGTTAAACAACTGGTGTAATCTGTGTCGTACCAGACAATTCATGAAAAGTTTCTGTTGAACAGCCGGTTTAGTCTATGTTGTATCAGAAAAAACATGAGAGGTATCTGTTTAACAGAGCTGGTATAGTCGGTGTTTTATTAGAAGTTTATTTATTTTATTTTAAGTCGACTGAGATTTCTGCTAATCAGCTGTAGACAAATCATGATAGGTTTCTGTTAACCATCTCATGTAGTCTGTATTGTACTAGACAAATCATGATAGGTTTCTGTTAAACATCTCCTGTAGTCTGTGTTGTACCAGACAAATCATGATAGGTTTATTTTTAACAGCAGATTGTGTAGTCTATGTTGTACCAAACAAATCATGATAGGTTCCTGTTAAACATCTCATGTAGTCTGTGTTGTACCAGACAAATCACGATAGGTTTCTGTTAAACAGCAGCTTGCGTAGTCGGTGTTGTATCAAGCAAATCATGATAGGTTTCTGTTAAACATCTCATGTGGTCCAGACAAATCATGATAGGCTTCTGTTAACCAGCTGGTGTTGCCCATGTTGCACCAGACAAAATTAAGAGACGCAGTCTTAGTTGTACCAGGCAAATTATGAAATTTTCTGTCAAGCAGCTTTGTAGTCTGTGTTGTACCAGAAAAAAACATCATGAAGGGTTTCTATTAAAGAGTTCGTGTATCAGATATATCTTTTTTCCACTGAATTAAATTGTCGAATAAATACCATCCCTCCCATTCCAACGATGTGTAAACCTGAACAAATTATGAATGTCAAAGCTATGTTTTAACTTCAGGAGTATAAGTCTGAGAAATATGCATTAATAAAGAAGGTTGAAAGCAATCGTGATGACAAATAAACGTACGCTAATTGTTAATGACCCATAAACTGTCTGTTGTGTTAGTCAATCGTTTGATTCTGTATTGGAAGTAATCTCTGATAGAGTCTGTAAGAAGATTGATTTCCTTATAATAAATCATTGTTTTTATTCAGAATGAAACCGGTTCGGGAATAATAAACGCTGTTACGAATTCAAATTTTCTGATTACATGTCTTTTACAATAATAGAAATATATAGATCTCCAGTCTTTGTCTGATATTTAATGATCCAATTTATTTTTTTGTATGGTAAAGACACCTGATTCCACATGGTAATTGGCTTGTTAGTCAAGTCTGTTTAGAGTATAATAATAACTTGACCTTACGTGACGCCTAGATTACGTAAGATATTCATATTAGATTGTTCATATATGTAACATTGTATGTTTTCTAATTTTGAGTACATTTAACGTTTATTTTACAAGATAATAAAAGCAGTTTTAATTAAATCCTCATACCGGAACAACCGCTCACCATAGCGAGACCAAATTATCGTAAAAACAGTTCATGGTAATAGCATTACGTTGAATATAAACCTTGTAACACAAAAATATTCCATCAACAATAAATGGAATATACTCCAATTTACATACTGAACACGCGACTTCTGGCTTGATACTACATTGTTTAAATGATTGGAAAGAAATAATATTTCAATCGGAATGAATACTCAAAATATTTTATTTCGAGATACACCGAGAGCTTAATCTTTGATGAATTTACTAGATATAATTTTTTACGTGTATAGTTATATTTTGAAAAGCATTCGTTTATTTGCCAAAACCCAAGTTCTAAATCTAAAAGTTTTAAATACGCTATATTGATTTCTAAATATTTAAGTAAAAAGCAAATGCGGTTGCGGACTTCATTGACTATACGGTTCCAAAAAATCGACTGTAATCATTGCAAAAGCGGTATGATCGGTGTCGTCCCACATCGCCCCAATTCTTCCCTAAATTATTCCCTTTTCGATCCTTCTCCGTTTCGCCCCTTTCCCATATCGAACTTTGCTATTTTGCTACTTTCCCATATCGCCCCTCCCCAATTTGCCCCTTTCCCAGTTTATTTTTATTCAATTGCAATTCTTTTTTTGTAATCAAGTTACTCTTAAAGGGTCAAAAAAAAAAAAATCAAATTGGACAAATAAAAATTATGAATAAGGTGCACAAGCGATATGAATACGTGTTATAAACCATAAGGATACGTGTCATTAACTATAATACATGAAAATTATTTTATTCGGAATCTGTGGGGATATTTGAAATAGGCTTACATAATGGTGTGGAGGTGGGGGGGGGGGGGGGGGTACACCTGTTGCTTGGCCCCAAAAATTTTCCAAACTTAGCCGGGATCTTACTCAAATTTGAAGCAGCCATTACATGTATAATTGATTGTATCAAAGAAAAAATATACCAATTTATTCATTAGGACACAATGTTTCTGGCATTACCACACTTAATATTCAAATTTTACTCTTTCTTGATGCGAGGAATGTAATAAACTTGAGCAAAAACTAATCTATGATAAATTTTTTGTGGGCCTTTGATCAAATATTTTGAACGTTATATTTTGCAATTCAGGTAGTGTAAAGGTATATAACTTTGGATTTGTTCCCCACAACCTTTCTATCTTACGTCATATAAAATAATCCTAAAGGATTTTTCTAATAAGATAGTTATTTCAAATGAACACATCTTCCTTTAATGAGACAGAAATATGATATGCTTTCCACCTTCAAACGTCTTTTATCACATTGTAAAATCACAAATCATTATTTCTTACAGAAAACTGTCAGAGAATCCAGAATCTTTTTCTAGATAAGTCATGTGAGGACAAGTACGTTGACACAGTATAGTATCACAGTTTCCTAAATCATCTATCAGCTCTTTGGTTTTAAATTCAGTTTCAATGAGGTTGTTTATTGGTGCAAATTTAGCACTATCACGATAAGATTTGATTGAGTAGCTATAATGTAGGTTATCATTATTTGAGGACGCATGGTTTTCCATATCAATCTTGAATGACACTTTACGCCCATTTATTCCACTTGAATTAGTCGAATTTTCATCTTGAAAATGTTCAATAGAAGAGAGCCAATCTGAAGAATTATGAGCATCATTAAGAATTGAATCTGATTTGTCTGTAACGTTTGAATTTCCATTTCTAAGTCGGTTTTCAAAATCAATATCGGTATCAAATTCGGTCTCCACAAAACCGAACTTGCCATCTACGAGTTGATTTTTTGATTCTGTTTCGCAGTCGTCATAAAAACAAGATAGTGGATTATTTGAAACGTTAGGAAATATAGTGCGAGTTGAAAAGTCGCCGTTGGGAGAAATTTCAATGCCATGATTTGATGTCATAAAAAGAAAGCGAGCCGTCTGGGAGTTAGAATGATGTTCAATGTCATCCATTCTCGTGTCTACAACATAACTATTGACACAGTCTAGAGATCCTAGATCACTATTATTACTTCTTGTAGACGTTAATTGATTGGACGTAATATCCTCCCCAAAATTTAAATCAAGAGTCTTTACGTCCTGTTGATTGATATACGTGGCTGTTAGTAATTGATTGGGTTTAATATCATGTTCTTTGACTGTCCTAGATTCTTGATTGCACGTTTTGTCCGTTTTTATATATGAACTTCCTGTATTTGATTCAGACCCTCCAATTTTCTGAACATTAGTTAAAGTGGTATCACTGGATTGCTGAGGAAGAGTTGGAAGAGACGGGTTTTTAGTTCTTAACGATATCGCTTCATTATCGACAGTTGGTACGATTTGTTTATTAAAACTTTCAGTAGTTAATAAATTGAACCAAGCCTCGTCTCTAAAGGTATTGATATCATGGGTGTCTTTTGTTCGAGCTTGTAATCCATAGGTCGTTAGACAACAACTATTACTTAAAAATTGGCCTTGATAACATTGTGGCTTCCTAATGTCCGTGAAATGAGTCTCGTTTACACCGTCTTCTGATTGTTTTATGTACCTCTCCATCCTAGCTTCAGCACTACCAATCATGGACGTAACATCAGAGTTTAATTTGCTAGAGTCATCTTGACATAGGACTGTTGAGTAATCACCGTGTAATTCCGAGGAAAATAAGATTACATTTCCATCAGAGATTTTTCTTTCATCTGAAGATTTCACGGGAAGATAAGAATGGAAGTTAGTCTCAGGCACAATGTGGATGTCTACACTAGTCAAATTACTACACATACGTTCCCTAGAAATCGCAGTAGCTGGTATATCTGTGCATGTATCACATTTTGTCGGAAACATTTCATCTGATATCTGGCAAGCTAATGGGCATCGAGTCTTATCTATGTTTTCAAAATTATATTTTTCATTGAACCAAGAAGAGCCCAGAGTAAGATTCTGATCTGATTCCGCTCCACAAGCAGGCGACACCATGTTTAATCCCATTGATTCAAATTTCGATTTTTTGACATTAGAATGTGTACAGGATGATAAAATAGGAACACTCAACGAACGCACTACACGTTCATTGAACACTTTTATTTCACTCAAATCGTCCACTATTTCATGGGTAGTGTCACATTGTTCTATTTCCAATGTAGAACCATCACAAGATAACCGGACGGTAATTTTTGACGTTTCGGAAGCAGATTTTACATAAGTGGCACTCGTTGTTGAAAAGTCACTAAATTTAATGTTTGAAGAATATTCCAATTTTCGACTGTCTTTCTTTCTAGTTCTCAACTTTCTAGTAATTTTAGAAGATATCAGTGGTTGATAATGAGCACTCTTGAACGTTTCTATCACTCCCACCCGACCTGATGATTTTTTGCTGAATTTACATCCCATAACCTTTGAATTTGTCATGAAAAGGCAGTTCCTGGTTTGTCACTATATTTATTTCTAACAACCGGCATGTCTGTATTGGACTGAGTTGGCTTTCTACCGATCGATGGCTAATATGGTTATATAGTCCTGTATATAGAAATGTTGTCGGTCAATAAGAGTGGTCGGTCTTATACACAACAATTTCTATTTCTAACTTATGTTGGACATGTTTCCGAAATGCATCAGAAACGACGACAATATGCAAAGTGCTTGAACACCTAAGGCCAAGTAAAAGGTTTCTATCGTTTAGAATTTATCAAGTTGATACTTTGGTAATTTAGATTAATTACTGTATTCTAAGGGACAATTATAAACTGTGCTAATTATACATGAAACGATTTTTAAAATCTTATTCTTTTTATAATATTGTGTACTAATATTGTTATGTAAGCAGTTCAAAGTAGTTTTGGTATTTGGTAATACGAAACTACGCGTGTGGTTTGTTTTTACATGGAAATAATACACACAAACGAAAAACACGACCATTTGAAGCACCTTTTCGACTTAAGTTATACGTTATAATTATTAATTTTAGCGTTTTTATAAAATTCGACTTAAAGATGGGTTTCCTTATTTTCATTTATAAAGTGAAAATGCTAATACATATATGAATAGAAAGTAGAGGTATTCTAATGACTTTGAAAAATATCAGTTTGTTTCACATGTCCATAATTCATTCATTATTAGCTAAATTAGAAGAGAATTACCAGCAGAATTGAGTGACCGATCAATAAAGGTCAAAAAGTCTTTTTTTGTTTGTCCAGACTGTACATACATGAACATTTAACTCTTAATTATATGCAATAAGAACATAAAGATATGATTAAGAGTACATGACAATTCATTAAAAACTCAAATTTGTCAAATAATTTGCTTTATTGAAACTAAAAAAATAAGGAAACCCAATAAGTTTTTCTTAATGGTTGAGAACTCTGCTCGTGCGTGATATTTCCATGTAAGAACCTTGCGAGTTTCGTACGGGTGCTTGGCTTTACGGCTTTACATTATTTGTAGTTGAAACATTCAGAATAATTAGGAAACAAAATATATCTCTTCAATTTGACGTTTATGTTTCCTAAATCCGTACTTAAGCTTTCCAACACCATCCAAAAATAGCGACTTATATACGATTAGGTAATCCATTTAAATAGTTTGGCTCTTCATTGATAAAGTTTCAGATATAAGGTGAAGAACATATTTCTATAGATTTTGGGGATAATGGTGTATGTTTTCCCTCCATAAAATCACACTGCCCCTTTAACTGTTTAATTATGTGGTACAAGTATCAATTATCAGAAGGAAGCATGATATTTTTAATATTGTTCATTTTAAAATTATTGTTTTATCTCGGTTTACGTTTTCTTTTTGGCATATTCGCAACTCTCAAAATTGTATATAATATTATTTATGATTAATATTTGATGAAATTGAAAGTTTTCTCAATAACGTCCCGGAAAATTTTGTGAATTGTTACGCATTACATTGGTGCTCTTGTAGAGTTATTGCTATCTTTATTGCTGCCAAGGACACCCATTGGAGGCCTGGAAACATGATTTTCTGAAGTCCCGAGACACCTCTAGAAAATTTTAAAGAATTTGACTCCCTGAAACGGAATTTCCTGACATTTCCAGGCAAATTTAACGAACTGTGGGACCACCACAAGAAAATTTTGTACGCCCGAAAACGCGATTTCTTGACATTTGCCAGCGAATTTTTGGTTTACTTGTATATGAACTGTGGAAATATTCCTCTGTTCTGATCTGAAATAAGATGAAATATAGATTGTTAGATTGTTATAATCATACTAATGTGCTTATGTTTGCTATGAAAAAGGTTGTCGTTTAGGTTCTGTTTTTCTGTATTTGCAACAATTATCTTTCATTTATAGACATGGGGGAATGTCTCTTATATTGGGCATGGACTTTCTTACTCGCACGATTGCTAGTGATATTAAACAGAGCGGCAAAGGGTGCTATACCTGCATTACGATGAATATTCAATCCTATCGGTCTTGCTGATCTGGTCTGTGGGCAGTAAAACCAATGCATAAATTATTTTTAAATCTCTTACATTTTGTTTGGGATATTCCATACATCATGAGATTTAGTCGAGGTTTCACATGTTAGATGCCCTTGGATAGAATACCATTTCGTAGTTGAATTACTCATGAAAAAGATAGTTTCTGATATAAAGGGACACGTTTTGCATCTATTTGTCTGAGAGTATTTCGAGAGTGTTCTTGGCTGCTATCTCCGCTAAGGTGGAATTTTTAATGATTCGTTAGTCGTTTACAGTACCCACGCTCTTTTAGCTTTGAGAAAACAATCGTACTGACATGGTTAAAATCAAATGATCTTTTTCAAATTTGATGAAATCATAAAACCTGTGACTTCATAAAAACATGTGTCAAAATTTGTACGATTGACACAGATTGGCTACCGCTCTTGTTATGATAAAAAGGAAGTTGGCGTATCTTGCAAGAAACTACTTGTTTCTTTTAATACACTCACATCTCTGTATAATTGTCTGTTGCCTGTCGGTCTACGTCATGTCGATTTTGACAAAATTTTATAAGCGTATTTGCTGAAATTGGTATGATCATTTATAGAGTTCAATGTAGGACCTTTTTATTGTAATCTATTGGAATGATAAAACATGATTCTTGTTGCTAACAATTTAGCAAATCTGTTATTTGGACTTAGCAAGTTCCATAAAGAATTAAAGGTATATCATCAAAAAGGTGATACCAAATAGTAAACTGAGTTATCAACCAATTTTCACTATGTATAAGATCAAAAAATGAAGAAAGAGTAAGAAAGTTACACAAATTGTATTGGCGTACATGTATTTGAGAGGAAGGCGCTTTCGTTATGATTCATAAGCCAAACATAGTAAATGCATAATATATACAGCTATCGCAGTGAATGGTATATTACGTTTTATCACGTTGATTGAGCAAAATTACTCTTGAACCACCAATTCCTTGTCTTAAACTATAAGAGACTGATTACATATTCATTGGAAAAGCGAAACAACTCAGTGAAGTACAAATTTCATAAAGCTACAGTTTACACCAATCAGACAGGCCCTTAAACTAGTTGATACATGTTTAATTATGTGGTACAAGCATCAATTATCAGAGGAAAGCATGCTGTTTTTAATAATGTTCGGTTTAAAATTATTGTTTTATCTCGGTTTATGTCTCCTGGCATATTCGCAAAATAACGTTGTTATTACTGGTGACAGCAGGTCATCGTGATCTGATAAGCTACACTATTATATATTTGGTTCCAATCACCATGTTTTTTAGTTCGAAACATCTGCTTCTATTACAGCCTCCGACAGATATTTGACAGCTATCGGCTGGTTTAGAGTCAGAAAAAGTAGGCCTTGTTTTATGGAGTTTTTCTTATTTCTACACCTGCGATTTTTCTTACATTACTTTCACTACGACTGTAGGTTAGTGTTGGGCATCACCGTAACGTTCTTTTTGTTAGTATCACGTGACTCTGTAACCCTTGACCTTTCGTAGAAGGATTCTGATGGTATGACTGAACTACAAAAATATCCATCTTTCCGAACATATCTGGTTTTGGCGGATCTGATTTAAATAAAAAGGTTTAAAAGCCCACACCTTCAGAGTTGCGGAAACTTCCCACTTTGGCCTAGTTTTTCTGCCTCTACATCAGAGGCTTGAATAGCAGCACATGTTTCGTTTTACATGTTCTGTATTTTTTTTATGTGAAGATAGTTAGACTTATATCTAACATTTAAAGGGACAAGTTCGCCATTTTTTGGGAGGATGGGGGAGGGGGAGTTAATTTGGATATGATTATGTAAATTGTCTTGAATACTAGAAAGGTACAAAAATCGCATAATTCCTTCAAAAATATCAAACCTTTGTTTGAATACTTTCATGTTTATCATAGTTTCCCAGACTTACAATGTCAGGTAAAGGTGTTGTGGTCCAAATATATGAGTCGAATTTGTCCTGGGTTAATCTGATTCGATTTGGTCTAAAAACCATTTATCCTGTATCGAATCAAATTTGATTATGGTAATCAGCGCATTTATCATCAAAAAATCAAATCGATATACGTTAATCGAGTAAATCAACTTTGGAGCGTCGTAGCTCTGTTAACTTCCGCCTTAGTAATGGCGTCCAACATGTCAAAACCATTACGTGCAGGGTAATTTCTTCCTGTCTTGCCACCATCTTGGAAACTATAAATAGTATAATGTTCATTTATCCTGCAGTATAAATCAGATTCGATTTGTGACGTCATTCTGATTAGGTAATCGAATCAGATTTAAGTGCGTAAAAATGACTAAGGGTTCGTGGCAGTGGTACCTTATCGAAAATATCTCTTATCCATCTCAGCTTAACAACATTTATTAATTTAAGCTATTGTCAAAACTGAAGTTTCTAATGCATTCAAAATTTAGACAGTCATATTAAGTTATTATAACTTACTTGTAACTCTATTGGCAGCCAAGGCAATAATTCAAAAGATTGTGGCAAGGGAAGCTTTAAATAAATCGAGCTCACAGTAACTCTCATTATGCACTGGAAGGTGGACCACAATCCGTATTAACTGTCACGTTCACAAGTCTGTTACGATGTATTGTGGTGAAACTACTGGAAGTGACTTAAACAAACTACAACAAACTGAAACTTATATTATGCTTCAATGTTGGCATTTATTAAAACTGATCACTGAAAATTGCATGGATTAAGGGTATCTATTTTTGATATCATATTCATTAGGCCATTAGGTCCAGAAAGGTAGGGTTATTTTTTCTTGTCGGATTGCCATGTGAAACTCTAGTTTACAAGATACTAATATGCATCGACGATGCGGGTTGATCATCGCATGACAGTTGAGCTTCTTCATTAACGATGTTGATAACCATGGGATAACTTGGGTTACTTCGCTACCACTACGCAGGCAGAAGGTCGCTCGTGCATGCAATGGCATTTTCATAATAATACACAACATTTCTGTAGTCTGTAGCTTTATCAAATTATCAACTTCACTGAGTTGTTTCGCTTTTTCAATAAATGTCTAATCAGTTTTGTTATAGTTTAAGAACTCAGTTTACTATTTGGTATCACCTTTTTGATGATATACCTTTAATTCTTTATGGAACTTGCTAAGTCCAAACAACAGATTTGCTAAATCATTGTTCGTTAGAAGAATCGTGGTTTATCATTCCAATAGATTACAATAAGGCTCGTCATTGCGTTGAACTCTAAATGATAATACCTATTTCAGTAAATACGCTTACCAAATTTTGTCAAAATCGACATGACGAAGACCGACAGACGGACAGGGGTGCTGACAATAGATAGATGCGGGTGTATAAGAAGAAACAAGTGGTTGCCTTACAAGATACGCCCACTTCCTTGATATATTTTCATTACCGTATATCAAGAGCGGTAACCAATCTATGTCAATTCGTACCAAACGTTTCACTTGTCCAAGATATTGTTGATTTAAACCAACCAATCATAAAAACTGTAGTCTCTATAGTGATCGAGAACAATAAACATGGGCAGTGATTAAAAAACGGTCATCGAAAAATCGTCAAATTCAAACTTGACCAAGATCTAATTATCATCAATGTTAACACCGAATGTCATTTTAAATCGGATGAAAATTGTAGTCTCTATTGGTTCATTAACAAATTTTGATACGTTTTTACTATGTCAAGGACAATAACTCAGGGAGAAAATTTGTGCCCCCTGTTCGATCCTCTCACCTGATATTTCCTGAAAACGCCACTGCCTAGAAATAAATACGCGTCCAATCTAGACTTTAAAATGTGAACAGAACCTTGTTCTGAGTTTTAAAAAAAGCCTTCACGAGTAGCGTAAGTAAAATTAAAGTTTTAATAAACAAAGTCAACAAAGGTAACAAATAAACATGTGACATTATACCATACCAGTTTATCATGAAATATACCATCAAAACGACTAGTATTTACAATCAAAAAAGTAAGGCAAACCATGACAGGAATAGTCGTGATGCTGTTAATTTGGAAGATCTTGGATACTTATTCAAATTTTGGATTAGTTTTAATCTATCTGTTAAATGAATAAAGGATAAGAAAACAACTGAAATCAATGATTGCATACAAATAAACCCTAACATTGTTCCTGTTTTCTTCTGCCTTGTAAGCAACAAGTACACGTTGTAGCTATCTAACCATATATAGATAGAGGCATTATTGTGCGTCTCCAGTACCCAGGCTGCCCAGGACTGTCGATTATATATGCTGCTGAGGTTGATACATCATTTTGACTTTCAATAAGATACAATCAGAATAGATGGAAAAAGTCAACATATATTATGTTATTTAGATTTATTCTGATTTAGAAGACTTGAATTTATGAGAAAGTTTATCTATAGACGGGAGATAGAATAGTATCACCATGGTCAGTGATATGACCAAGCAAACAAATCCAGCAACATTTTTCTCGAAATCAAATTCAAATTGACTGGAATGACCAGACGCAATCTCATTGTCAAGTGTATAAATCTGTACCACCATGGTGACTAAAACAGAAATATGGAATATTTGATGACTTTGTCCACAATGGTCGAACGATTTCGCTTTCCAACGTTCGGGAATATGTAAAGCATAGACGATAGCTTCCAGTACAAATAATGCATAACACAAGGTGATGTTATTCAAGGAATATAAGGCACATTTGCTGTCAAGGTAACAATGCCAATATCTTGGAAAAAGCGGACACGATACGTAAAGTGCAAATAGGATATAGGGAGCAATCATCCCAAATTTCTTCATCGAAGAAAATGATTTATTCTCTATCCAAACCTTTGCCGCACAATTGATTGCAAAACAAATAGTTGCTAACACAACACCGACCTGAACGTAGAACGGCCGTAACGTTTCAAACGAATGAATATCACCACATATGTACAATGCCACTACACTGGTTGTATAGACGTAAAGTGCAATCCCGGAATAATCCATAAGAAAAAATATCACATGACTTTTTACTGAGCGTGATCCAAACCAATGAGCAATAGAACTCAAAACGGTCAAGGTAAGACAGCCCAGGAAACACACTAACATTTTGTTTCCTTCAGACGAATAGAGTAGATCATGTTTTTGATGGAATTGCACACCGTAGTAGGGGATAATAATTGAAGCGATAACATGCGTCCAAACATTCAAGGTTTCGTTGTGCCATTTAGCAACGCTAAGGTAGTAGTAAGACCAAGGTTTGTGCAATTGACGATATCCGGTTTCAATGAACGCATGCCTCATTGGATATGGAATATGATTCAGTGTGAGCGTTTGATAATGGCTCTTTGTGGCCATTTTGAAAAACAGTCATGGGCACTCAGTAGAACGAAACAGAAGATTTTAACCGCAAACGCAAGATTTAAACTGTAATATACTATTCTCTTTCAGTGCTGATGGAGTAGGAAATCCTGTACTTTAAAGATTATCTATCACTAGTATTTCAAAAACTTCTTATTGAACCTTTGCTCTGAAAGATACAAGTATAAATTACATAGAATAATGCTGTAATTCAAAGCAAATAATTTCGGTGCACGGTTACGTGGTCACAGGAAATTTGGTCACCGGAAATATGTTCTCAATAATACGGGCACAAGGTATTTTGGTCTCAGTAATACGGACACAAAGTATTTTGGTCACAGAAATATCGGCACAGTCACAGTAATACAGGCACAGGGTATTTTGGTCACAGTAATAAGGGCACATTATAATTTGGTCACACGCAGCTACATTTACCCCCTGTAATCGATAATCACTTCTATAGCAATTATATGATTTATCAATTACGACATAGCTCGATCATTCACTCCCCCCTACCCCCTGGAACAACCGGATTATAGGTTCAACCCTTCTGAGAACGCCCGTCAGGCGTTTGATGCTATCATTTCCCGACAACATCTCTGAAACAACTGGCTGAATTGGGCCTTAAGATATTTAAGCTTATAGATATATTACGAACGATCAGGGTTAGGTCATCTCTACTTCTATTTCGGATCAGCAGATCAAGGGTGACAATCGGGTCTGACAATTTTTCGTCATCTCACTGAACCTCAGAATTAGAAACTGAACTGAGACGTTAAAACCTTGGTCAAGGCTGCTGAATTGGACGAAATTCCCTGGGTAAATGGGGGTAAATATCCGGTAACCAGTGATTACTTATAGGCATAATCTTGGCATTGATATAAAACCACATACCAAAAATGAATCCATCAACAACGTTGTAAGCGAGCACAAGATAAGTGAAAACAATTAGGACGACGAAAAGTTCTTGTCCACATCCTATGCAGGTATTAATATTTTCAGCTTTGGGACTTATTGCATTCAATTTCGATCGGAGATGATGATTCCCCAATCTAGTATTTTTTATGAAAGTATATTATAATTACGGTCAAGTCAAGCGATGGTCATAAAGATCCCAAGTCAAGCCTTTTCGCTTTTTTTTTTAAGTATATAGGTCAGAAGAAATCATCCGTTTTGAGCCAAATTTTGTACTCAATATAGTTAGAAAGTGGATACAATGCCAGAAAACTATCAGATACGCCATTAAGATTTATCAGGTGTGCTTCATAGCAGCAACCTGGTCTCTATTGTAGACATGATATTAGACATGGAAAATATTCATTTCTCACTTATGATATAATAGCGAGACCTGTGTCGTTTTTGCTGAGTCAATGTTCATTTCATAAATCAGTTTGTCGTCTCAGCACGGTACATGCTTAAAGTGACACGTTCTGTACATCGACCTGCGTATACTTGTTTACATTACCTCATTTTCACATCCTTTCCAACTCCAACTCCTTCGAAACTTGGAATGCCACCCTATTAAAATTCGAAACTCGCCCGTCCACGCTCTAATATAACTCAGTATTATCTATCTGTTGGCTATGCTTCGGTGACTCCTATGTTAAACAATTATTCGTCATATCAAAGGTCCTCTCACACACATACTCACACATATTATATCCCTATTCATTAATCAGTCATGTGCATCTTTAATAATAACACTGATTAATAAATCACCCCACTAAGAACGAAAAAAAACTCAACAAAACCAATATCAATGTTTTTCTATTCATTCATTCCATTCGATATCATAAATTTGGGTCGCTCTGCAAGTTTACAAATAAGTATTAACTCCTCCAACTGAATACCGGTATTGTAAATACTGTATCGTTCTTTAGGTTCAATTTTTATAAATCCTGGTAGACAATAAAGTAAGTATAAATATCAAAAATAAAAGCTTATGCACCCAGAGTTGGACAAAAGTGATTAGATCTAGGCTAATGGCGACTAATCATATAATTAATAATTTGTTTCTGAAGAAATGAAGATAGTTTACCTCCTTTCGAATTCTTAAACAACGTCGAAAATGGCATGAATAGTAAAAAAATGAAACAGCACCGAAGATGGCTTTATGTATTTAAAAGAGAAAATTTATGATTGTAGCCTAGTTCATTATCTTATTTTCAAGCGAAAATAAGTGGAGATCTGGGATTTTGAATTTTCTCAGTAGGTAGCCTACTGAGAAAATTAAAAATTAAAAACGGATAATAGGCCTAAGAGAAAGACATAGCCTAAGCCTACTCTTGAAAGGTAGGCTATCAGCTGGTTACGTCCTAGCCCTGTCCTTGAGAACCAAAGCTGTTAGTCTATCCTTGTTAAATATTTTTCACTTTTTTTTACTACTCTATACAAGTTCTATTCTTGACTCTTCTTTATTTTGTTAGGCTATAGACGTTCTTTTTAAAATAGCCTACCAAATTACCAAAAGATATCATTTATAGTCCAAAAATAGATGGTAATCTATCTCTCTCGTTGATAAATCGATTCTTACCTGTTATCTTTTTTTATAGATTCAGCCTGAGATCGTAAAACAATTTTACGTTAATGATAGTTAAAATAATGAATTCTCAACCAAAAACCACCTCAAAACTTTATCTACGCAAAAACGGTAAAGTGGCCGCGTTACCAAGTCACGTCACATAACGTTAATGTTAACGTCATCTTTCGAAGAACGGTTTTTGAGTTATTGCCCTTAACTTAGGAAAAATGCATCATAATTTGTTTGTGAACACAATAGAGACTACAGTTTTCAACCGATTGGTGTGATCATTTATAGTGATGGGATCTTGGTCAAGTTTGACATTAGCATACTAATTATTGTTAATTAAGCAGTTTGACCTAGTTATGGTGTTATGGTTTACAATGAGAGGTTTATTTTGCTTAAATCTGTAGGGCTTGTAGTTTTATAATTCAGGGTATTAGTTTTATTTAAAGTGATACTATACGTCTTAGAATGAACATAAAATTTAAGTTCTCGAAATGGTCAATAAGAGTATTATATTTATCACTTAGCTTACCTGGTGTCATTAAGTTACAAAAGAATCCCTGGAAAATCTAGAAAATTGAAAAATTCATAAAACTGATTATTGAAAAACAGTTGATCTTGTTAAGCGTTTTTCGATAGTTAATTGAATATTTATGGATAGTTACTAAGGTTCATGTTAATTCTAAGACGTAGTATCACTTTAATTTACCCTCTATATTTCAAGCACATAATTAAATAATAGTTAAAATTCAATTTACCAACGATAATTCGAAGGCAGAAGGTGTAGTACGACCTTAAACTAAACCTTGGTTATTTAACTGTAAAACTATAGTACGATATATCGTACACAAACAGGATCGATATGGCTAGAATTGATTATCATTTACGAGTATACGTACAATACTTGAACATAATGTGGGCCTAGTGAAAACCACTCACATTATTATGTTTCTATAAACCTGCATTCCCATTCAATTGACAATGATTTATTTGTAGGGTTAAATTGACTCGTATTATGAAAGGAAACATTTGGTTTCGAACCAAATCCGAATGGTGACATTTTTCAACCGCATTGTTGTTTATGAAAATTTGACTTCCATGCAGATGAGACAATTCTTATGCCATTTCAAGATATGAAACCACTTTTCGAAAACTGAATAGCAGTTCAGATTCCTTATTCGGCTTTGTAGAAGGATTTTAAGATCTGAACGATAAACATGAATGATATTATATTGATTATAGACGAACCCAATTGCAGAATTATATCCTAAAAAGTAATACGTATTCTAAAAAATTGATTTTTTAAAAACATTTCTAAATAAAGGATAAATATCAGACGACTATCCTTATCAGATTGATATATAAATAACGAGGTCTAATAAACATAATATATATTTAATACGTAACGTATTCCGATAACATACAAAACTAAAACATGGCAGTGAAAACAGTCCTGATAAAAACTCTTTCTTGATAAAATAATAATACGGCAACCTCTAAGGGTTTGCTATCCCATAATACCTATTTCCTATTTTATCAAGAAACAGGTTAACATGATTACGAAGAAGACTGAAAAACAGAAAATAAAAAAGATAGATTGCATATCACATAGCCTGCGCCAAACCAAAATTCCGTGTAGAATACATGTACTGAATCTGTCAACATAACCCTTGTACAATTTACTTTTACTGTATATCAGTATATTTTATAAATATGACATTATTTTCTATCAAAAAAAAATACAATTTAACATTTAGAGTCAAAACACAAAAACAGTTCAACATTCTATGACAATTATTTTATATAATAACATAAACATACAATTTTAAAGTGTGCTTAGTTGACAGTCCAGTCGCAGAGGAACATCATGTGTTCTATAAGGGAACTGTATAAGTGCTTCTCTTCATTTATTAAATTAAATATAGAGAAAATATAATCGAAAAGTTATTACACTGAGAAAATTGTTAAATAACATCTTGACTGAAGCGAAGCTCGAAACATTTTTCTATGTGTCACTTCGCCAGCTCAATGATCTGATGAATTTTAAGGTCAGGCCTGTTCTTCAATTCAACCAATCGAACACAAACGTTCTAATGTAAATAATTGTTAAGTTTTGAAAAATTGTGAGACTACGACAGAGATAACATAATCAGAATTTAAATATATTTATGTAGTCTGACCTTGGTACCGGTGGAGTAACCCACAGTCAATAAACAAAACAAAATATTTTCAATGTTAGAATAATACATCAATTGTAGAGCGATATATATAAATATTAAAACAGAACGTAAAAAAACATGTTGTTGTTGCTCAGAGTTCCACGCTATGCGATCTTCAACAACTGACCTATTTCAGCATATTTCTTATTCATAACTAAATTTGAAAATAATATAATAATATTTAACTATAGGGAAAGTAAGTGCATTGATATGTAATTTAACTAAACTTTTTTCTCAATTAGCCTAATACATGTCAAACTAGTTGAAATTAGATTATAATTTTGGTTAGATATTATTTTTTTCGCTACCATGGAGACAGAAAACAAAAACAACGAAACGCAATTGTAATCTGATTTTAATTTGATTGAGTGCAGACTAATAGTTACCGATTTGCTCGAAATGACCCGAAACAGGAAGTAATTTTTGGTGGCTTGTAAATATTCGGCAACAGTCATAATGAGTGAGTCAACAAGTTTCGCCAACATGATTTTATGATATGCTGATCATAAATAAATTTTCCAACAATATTGATGTTATCACTTGTTACGCCTAAACGACACGGTTTGGTACAAAAATGATTTTGAAAGCTGTGTACAATCATAAATTTCATGAAAATATAACAAATTCTTAAAAAGGATCGAATGCATAAGAACACATGATTCATATTTCTAACATAATTTGAATAGAATAAAGTTTTAATAAAGGGGAGCTAACTGTTTTATAGACGACAATAATTAATGCCCTATTTCTTCGTATTGCCCTAAAGTTATCATGCCTTAATCTGGGTAAATTTGATTTTGATTTTTGCAAGAGAATGGTAAATAGCAGCAAACAGCAAAGTCGATTTAAATGCCACATCCCAATGATTTGATTTTCAGTTAACTCGTCAGAGGGTTTCTGTTAAAAACTCTTCAACAAAACTTTGTGACCTTTAAAACTGCACTATTATATTATTATAATTCCAAAAATGATAAATACGACCTTGGAGGCATACATAGCGTTTGTTGAAGCAATATTCTTTACAGTAGCTGTCCTTGGCTTTGGCACTTCGTCATGCAAGAAACTCTTATCTGTATCTTTAGCCATGTCTGTGTCTTGTTGGGGCTTAAGCGTTGACGTAGTTTGTTGAGGTTTTTGAGTTGTCGTTTTCATCGGATGTAGGTCTATAATTAAGATCGAATTACTCGGTAATAGAAATAACAATCATAAGATAAAAAAAACCCACAACCATAAAGTAAAAAAACTTGTTTTGCAAGACTTGAGTATATAAGCTTTAAAGGGGATATTTTAATAGAACACAACGCAAAACCTATACCAGAGTTGCCTCGATCTCCCAGTTCTATTTTGACCAAGTAAACGGGACCCCAGCCCTAAGCGTTGGCCCACTACCAGAAAAGAATGCCTTTAATGTTCAGACACAAAAAAATCTGGTTCACAACTTATACTGGTATACTTATACTATAAATATTATGTATAAAATTTCCCAGGGAAGAGGCTCCTAACCCACTTAAATCAGTTTTAGACCTGTAAATCGAAATATTCTTATTAGTAGTCATCTCACGTACGAGAGCTTGAAAAAGTCATTGTATGCAATTTAACTTTTAAGTCCCAGAAATAATGACACACATACCTGGTAACGAACAATTCATGATTTGGATGTGATATCCAGTAAATGCTGTAAATAAACCATTTAGAATTTCTGCCCCTTTTAAACTACATCTTTTAATTGGTGTCAATACACAATTCAAAAACGTTTCAAATGACCTACAATATTAGAGAAATTATTATTTGGATATACATGTATTATATATATTTACTTATAATATTTTGTGAATTTGAGCCCCCACTCCCTTGAAGCCAAGTTAAGTGTTTATCTTTGCTATTTAGCACTTGAACATAAGTCAAGGGGTCAGCTATAATGTCTCTGTCTAAAGATGGAATAAACATATTTATTTGAAAAGCCTACCTGCATGATGCCGCATTATGGAAGTACTGTGTGCAATTTTTAAAGTTTTCAAAAGTGTCTTTTGTTAGATAACAATGAGACGCCGATTTGTACTCTGAAATTTGACATAAGATAATACAATATGCTCAGAGAAAATGAATTTAGTCACCATTAAAGAGTGTTCTCGAAGTTTAATATTGGTGTATTGATTAACCAGATAGAAGTTATGAAGAAAAGTCGCAGCCCAAAATTCTCAATCTTTTAACTTGGTATAAAACACAGAATTTGATTTACCTTCTAAACGATTGCAGATAAACTTTGCCGAATCAATTACAGGAACCCATCCAACTTTGTCGGTAATTGAACACCCACCAAGAGTATCTTTCAAACATACTTCCAGATCACCAATGATACTAAAGACAATAGACAATGCCATGATAATTGAACCATTTATCTATGACAAAGGCATTTCGCATAATCCAACAGTCATAATTTCAAAGGATAATGATGAATCCTGGTGAAATTTTTAATTATTTGTTAAACACAAGGTTGAACCCTTAACCAAATAGAACAAATCTAAAATACGAAACAGGTTAATTTTTTAAAGAAGAAATAAGAACTCGCAGATGGACCTTTGTTCTTCGATACGTGTTCGATTTTTCACAAGAAATGAGGTCCTGCCATCATAACGAATATGCGACTTTAAGCAAAGCTGTCAGTTTCTTTACTTTCTTCCTGATAATTTGGATGTTGGCTATATGAATGGAGAAAAAATGGATTTTCAACCAATTGTGTAGAGGAGGTTGAAAATCCAAGTCCCACTTGTGTATTTGAGTTGAAATAAAAACAGTTCCAACCCACCTGCATAAATTATCAGCATCTTCTAACTGCATTATCCCAAGTGGGTTCATGGATAGGAGATCATATCCTGTACATTTAAGCGCTTTCATAACATCACATGTTCCTTCCACAGATTTTAAAGCATCTGAAAGATACACAAGGATTTGATCAGTTTGGCTCTTCAACAATCTGATCGATCTCTGCAGGCACACAATAATAAAAGGTCACCCAAAATCATAGCGTTCATTTCCATGCTGTTGTATTGAATTAGCCAAGTGTTGGAAACGTTCGCCAATCAATAGTTAAAGAAATAAAATTATTAGAGTTTTACGTCCTACTTTTCTAATGAAGACTGGCAACGCCATATAGGGTGCAATGAGGGAAATTTTGCCAGGACAGCGTCATTAGCCTGCTCTTTGTCGAAGGATCTTTAACGTGCATAGCCTGTCCCATCCAAATGACTAGACGCTTTTTCCATGTCAGCCCTCTTACCTGCATTACTGGTAGGGTATTATCTAGACCTAGGTCGTGATTGAACCCTTGACCAACAGGTTAACAAGCAAGCGTCTAACTCACTGAGCCACCGCGGCTCAGAAATGAAAAAGAAATGAAAGTTGAAACTAGCGGAAATTCTCCATAAAATAATTAAATCAATACATTGAAGGAAGGTCGCATTAAAAACTTGTTTCGTGGACCCGGCAGGCGGCAGAGAGCACCAGCTGCGCAACTTTGGCCTTGTTTTCATGGAAAACAAAAAATATGACTGTACATCTATGAGTACTAAACATTCAGTCTTGTGAGGTGAAACAAGAAGAGATGACATGTATTAATTAATTTCTACATTTGTATTGCAAATTAGGTCAAATATACCTTGTGTTGTTGCTGTGTAAATATGTAATTATTAATAACAGATATATCATATATGTCAATAATCTCTTGATCTTTTTAATGGAGGCTCAATTCAAATTATATGTAATCATGCTTAAAGCAGGAGAATGCAAAAATTTCATCATCAAAAACGTTGTAAATTATAGATGAAAATATTTCTAAAATATGCTATTTACTTCTGTGTATAAACTTGTTTTAAAAGGGTTAATTAATTGTTAATTAAGCAGTTTGATCTAGTTTTGGTGTTTGACTATATGGAATGGCTCGACATGTTTTAGTTGAAAAGGTAGGGGATATATTTCTCTACAATTTGGCGTTTATTTTGCTAGAATTGGTACATTATCCAACACAAAAAAAAAAAAAAAAAATAAAAATATAAAAAACTAAAAAACATAGCATCTCCGAAGTGTTTATGTAAACCTTTTAAATAGTTTAAGCGTTCTAAGACTAATGGCAAGAAACTTAAGTTAAAACTTTCAGATTAGTTAATAGATATATTTATTGTTTTTTGTGTGTAGTCTTCATAAAGTTGACAAACAAATTTGTCCAATCTGAGAAAAATCATAAGGTTTTTAAGATTTTTGCTTCAATAGATGTTTCAATTCTTGAGTCCAATATGGAGGTCACTCGAACAACAATAATCGGTCAAGTATTTTAACGTATACTATAATTCAATTTAAACTATATTTGGGGGTGAGGTGGAGATATATATTTCAGGCAATATTTGGATATTGAACTTTGACTATGACCACACTGGTTTGGGAAATGTTTTAAATAAGGAACGATCTATCGAAATCATAAGTAGATTGTAAAATTACAACCTATGCTTTTCTTTCTTATGGATGTTTGTTGGTCATGGCTACATGGAAACAGCTATTTATGTAGATTCTCTCGATATTTATAGATACAAATATAAACAGATAAGCCTGATTCGTAATTTACTTCCCATTTTTTTTTAAACAAATGAAAGAAAGAATGAAATAAAACTTACGAGATAAAAACACCAAAACTAAAAATAATCTCATATTTAACTTGAACGTCTAACCCATTATATTTCTATATTCAATTATTTACAAATATCTTAAAGATTCAACCCACAGCCCATCATCCTTGAAATAACGGATTTCAGTGTCAAAGTTTAGATGTTGTTAAAGATAGATTAAAATATTCCGGTTAAGTATATTTCCTTTTCGTTATATCATCAAGACGGTTGGTTAGTTTTGTCCCGCGCTCTATCAACAGATGATTAGATTAGAAGATGCCTTTTCGTTCGACTGTGACAACGGAAACTGATAAGATGCCACAGTATCGTAAGAAAATAGCTATAGCTATTCCAAAAATAGGTCTTGACATTTTGGCTTTCTTTTCAAATGCGTTGTCCCATTTAATGCTTTCCCTCCAGAATAGCTTGTCAACACGAATCTCTGCTAAAAAGAGTCAGTGGGCCTTGGGCAAATCTTCCTCACATTTGTCACGACAAAAGGCTCACTGTGTTTACAACAACAATACATTCTTCTTCAAGGCATAAACATTGTACATGTCCATCCTTCCAGAATATTGGTTGAAAAATACACAGAACTGCTCCGAATAAATCTTAAAGTCAATTAAGTCAAGGGCAATAACTTTCATAACATTCAACCAATTACTACCAACTTTAATGAAATACACATATTTCCATTAAAAAAATGCCCTCCCATCTTTGAACTTGGCACTGATAATCATCTTACTACTACACAATAGTAAGGTCTCCAAAGTATTTAGATATACATGTAGTTAAAATCTTTCTCATGATTTATTTAAATTGGAGATATCACATCAACAGATTACTCCAATAAATAGGCGGAAAAGTGCAGAACTGTTTTCCATATCAATGATTGTAATTCTTATGATTATATTTCAACCATTTTATTTTCAGGCTGACTTACATTACAAATATGGAATTTACCAGAGATAGTTTTGATGCTCAAAATGATGTAGAACCGACCGCACTGCATGTTGCTGCTGAAAATGGCCAATGCGAGTTAATTAAAATACTGTTAAGAAAGGGTTCAATGGTAAATATCCAGAATTGTAAAGAACAGTCGGCGTTAGTGCTGTCTTTATTAGGTAGAAACGAAGAAATTTCTTTGTTATTAATCGACCACGGAGCGGATATAAATCAAGCAGATGGAAATGGCATGACACCATTAATGTATGCCATTCAAAAATGTCTTTCTAATATGGTTCAATTAATGATAAGAAAAGGGTGTGATTTAAACCTTCAAAATAAAAAAACAACAAACAGCTCTCCATTTAGCTGTAAACAATTTTGATGACAACGAAACTGTCAGGCTTTTACTAGATAGTGGTGCCGATGCTGACATCAAAGATTCAAACGGCCACACTCCACTGATTTTATCTATGAATGGAAAGGGGAAATATTTTAGTCTGGTAGCTGAAAAGACTACATGTTTCAATATTTCTGATGATAGTGGGATGACACCATTGATGTTTGCTGTTGAAAATAACCTAATATCAGAAATTGGAATAATTACAAGAAAAGATTGCAATCTAAATTTTCAAAACAAGAACAAGGACACGGCAGTACATTTAGCAGTAAAAAATGACAGACTTGATTGCCTTAAGACCCTTTCATCAACTGGTGCTGACTTAAATATACAAAATTACCGAGGAGAAACCCCACTGTTATTATCTATAGGTAAAAGATGGACCGACGGTATAATATTACTGATTGAAAGTGGAGTAGATTTAGAAATAGCCAACATCAAAGGAAATACTCCTCTAATGAGAGCAATTGAAAGAGATCTTTTGGATGTAGCTGAATTACTGATAAAGAAAGGGTGTAATCTGAACAGTAATCCTCCAGATATCCGTGTAGGTAAAGATTACCATTATTCAAACACCAACAAACAAACACCTATTCATCTTGCTGTCAGTCGTAAAGACGTTAATATTCTGATACCTCTAGTGAAGGGTGGTGCCGACTTAAATATACAAAATTCAGAGGGAAAGACGCCACTTCTAGTATCCATTCAAAGAGGTAATACAGAGGCCTTAATGATGCTAATTGAAAACGGGGCTGATATCAACCTCTCGGACTCAAACAAGACAACACCTTTAATGACGGCAATTCAATACAACAACATTGATGTTGCTATTTTACTGATAAAGAAGGGATGTGAGCTAGACACCCAGGATAATGATAAAGAAACTGCTCTTCATTTCGCTGTTCAGCTGAGTACACTGAGTTTAATCGATTTCTTGATAAAACACGGGGCCAATATCAACATAAAAGATAGAAATCACAATACACCGTTAATACTCTCTACAAAAAGACAAGAAGAGAAAATAGCGATGTTGTTAATGGACAATGGGGCTGATATCAACATAAAAGATAGATATGGCGACACACCTTTAATAATATCAATAAAAAATAGATATAAAAAAATAGCAATGATGTTAATAGACAATGGGGCCGATTTAAATGCAGTCGACCCCAATGGAGATTCATTATTAATATCTGCAATAAGAAATAACCTTGGTGATGTTGCATTGAACTTTATAAAACATGGTTATAGATCAGATTTATCCCCATGCCATGACTGTTATCCTGGAATATTATGCCACTTTTTGATGAAGGCCTACTTGGATTTTAACAAGAGACACCAGCGTTTTCTGGAACTATTGTTTCTTTCTGGTTCTTGCACACAATCTCGGTTATTTATGTTATTAAAAGATCCTCTATATTTCTCCCAATTTGAAAAGAATCCTGAAATATTGCACTGGATAGAATCTAAGAGTTGCAGTCCGATGTCGTTGAAGAATATTGCGAGGATTGCAATTTTAGCTCACATACAACCGAATAAAACAAAAAACATTGAAGAAACAGAACTTCCAATGACTTTACGTCACTTCCTTCAGTTTAATGATATCATTGACAATGGACCCATTCCTATGATTACCAGAAGGTATGTACAAGATTACGATGGCTATGCTAGATGGAGATGATGATGATGATGATGATATTGATCAGTTTTCTATCATTTATCATAACATTGTGATGCAAAGAATGCGATTGCTAATTTTAAATGACCATGCGACATATGTTGTTCAAACGAGTAGTATGAATTCTGACCTTTACCGTGACATTTGAATATGACAATGATACAATTGGAGTCCATGGTTCCGAAAATGGAGACTATTTTATAAAAAATAATGTCGATTTTAAAGTTACAGTTTTCTGAATCCTAAAATATTTTTTAAACGAATACTACCTCTTAGAATGGACATAAAATTAAGGGTCTAAAACTTGGTCAATAAGAGTATATATTCATCAGTTCGACTTACATAGAGTGGCACCTGGTAATACGCTATTTGACACAGTTTAAAACTTTCAATTGTTTGGTTATTCTAAGAGGTAGTATGATTTTAATGATCTTATTTCTGAGTGAAAGGGTCCCCAGGTGTCTTAATCACATCGCATTGATAGAAATTTGATTTAACGATTTACAACATATATAACTTATCATTTTTTGATTATTAATTTTAACTATTTGCAGTGAATGATCAGTTTATTTGGCGTCTTAACTGGAATAATGTTTTAAATGAATACTATACATGTATGTAGATTATTTTGGAAATCTTATATATCCTGTTATTTTTTGGGTTTTTAGATAATAATATAGGTATCGTTTCAAAGTCTTCCTCTCTTTTTCTAATAACTCATTTATCCTACCTTAACGACCTTATAGATACTTCATAGGATCTCCACTTTTATTTATTTAAACAAGTTTTATGTTGACAGACGTTTCAATATTGCAATATATTTGAGAAATTGTCCACATTTTTCATTGGTTAGCATTTCTTCGTGGGACAATTATATAAGAATAGCTCTGGTACAGTCAATAACCTAATTTCGTGGAAACCTATTATTCGTGGATTTTCGGAAATGTTTGCGCGACCTCCGCATTAGTTTGTTTAATAAACGTGGGTTTTTTCTACAATGTCAGCTAGTAGAATGAATTCAGTAGTTTCAAGCAAAGTAAAATGTATTAATGTATACTTTGACAAATACAAAATGGCGGATTTCAGTATTTCCAAACGTCACCATTTTTTATCGGCCAATTTCCTTATAATCCCAAGCGGTAATCGGAATTCCAAGTGTCGTCTGCTACAATGTAGTCCAACGAATGAAGTCACGTGATCAACTAGCGGATTCCATGTCAGCAGAAAATTTCTATGGAACACAGAGTGGATCATATTCTTATGTTGTTTTAGTGACTTTTAGCAATAAATCATGCTACGTATCTTATTTTGTCAGTCACTATTTTATTTTTAAATCGTGGTTCTTTGAAGGAATTGTCACTAGTTATAATGAATTGATATTAAAGATAAATACTAAGAGAAGTTAATTATACCACCCGGTATCCATACAACGTGTTTTTCTAGACTCATTCATGAAGAAAATCGAAATAAACCAATTTTAATTATTTTGTAGAATATCTGAGGAAACATCCAAGACATAAATTTTTTTTTTCGTTTTTTTTAACTTTGACGCAATTCGGTGTTGAATCCTTATATCCACGAAAATAGGTTACACCACTGTACTATTCCGAATCTTTATTAGTCATACTATTGTAAACATTTTTAAAAAGCGACAACAACCACATGGATCTAATGGAGCTTGATGATTGTTCTTTATGGTGGTAAGGATACGATGGGTAATGTAAATTTTGAAAAGAGTTGGACTATTATTATTTACTGAGGAAATGGCCCATGCTTTTAAATCCAATTTGATCACAATAAAAAAAGTATTTAAAAATGAAAAGTGGTATCAGATGTCTAAATGAATAAGCATAAATTGCCTCTGGCGCCACACACGACATTGTTGCTCATTATAAAAAGTAAGGTTAAATAAAAATAGTCACTCGTCTCAATTTTATAGTTCAAGGGAGGTAACTGATGAAAATATTAAACATTTTATGCTTTTTATACGCCCACATGAAATGGGGGGCGTATATTGCCGTCACCCATGTCCGCCAGTCCACAACTGCTGGTAAACACTCTTCAAGACACAATTCTTGTCGGATTTTGACAAAACTTGGTATGAGTGTTCATAATCACCCAAGGATGAACCCTTTTGAAAATCAGAAGAATCGAAAAATATTTATTATAAGTTATTGCACTTGTTCTTGAAAACTCGTTCAATTTTCAGCTGGTAATCACTCTAGAAGACACAATTCTTGACGGATTTTGACAAAACTTGGTGTGAGTGTTCGTAATCACCCAAGGATGAACCCTATTGAAAATCAGAAGAATCGAAAAATATTTAGTATGAGTTATTGCCCTTGTTCTTGAAAAGGCGTTCAATTCTTAGCTTGTAAACACTCTAGAAGACACAATTCTTGACGGATTTTGACAAAACTTGGTGTGAGTGTTCGTAATCACCCAAGGATGAACCCTATTGAAAATCAGAAGAATCGAAAATTATTTAGTATGAGTTATTGCCCTTGTTCTTGAAAACGCGTTCAATTTTAGCTTGTAAACACTCTAGAAGGCACAATTCTTGGTGGATTTTGACGAAACTTGGTATGAATGTTCGTAATCACCCAAGGATGAACCCTGAAAATCAGAAGAATTTAAAAATATTTAGTATGAGTTATTGCCCTTGTTCTCGAAAACGCTTTCAAATTTAGCTCTTAAACACAAAAAGGCATTCTTGCTGGATTTAGTCAAAACTTGGTATTTAGTCCCGCGTTGAAGATTGAATATTTGCCCTCTAGAGTTTTCACGAGATAAAAATTGAACACGTTTCAAGAACAAGGGCAATAAGTCATACTCAATATTATTCAATATCGCCCTAAAGAGTTCAGAAGAAGTGTTTCACTGAAGGTTGAATATTTCATACTGATTGTTACTGTACTGGCTTTGATGTGACATATTGAAAAGTTTTCAAAGAGATTTCTAGAAAAAGTTATAGGAGGTTGAATTTCGAGATTAAAGAGGGCAAATGAATTAGGATACCGGAGTCGGCCATACATATCTAATTTTAATATAAGTGGTATCATCAAAACTATAAATATTAAATATTTTTCAGTGTTATCAATGTATTGGGTGTGGGATATGTATAATGTATATTTTATGGTATGACTGATATTATTCTGAAATGTTTCAGTATTATCAAAGATAGCTTGCCAGGCAAGGTAATAAACGCCCACTGGCAGCTTTGATTTTGAATAAAACTATTTAGCAGTACAGTAACAATCACCAGTATGAAATATTCAACCATATAGCCATTCAGTCATATACTTCTTTTGAACTCTTTAGGGCCATACTGAATAATATTGAGTATGAGTTATTGCCCTTGTTCTTGAAAACGTGTTCAATTTTTACCTCGTGAAAACTTTAGAAGGCAAATTTTCAATCTTCAGCGCGAGAATGAGCAATACAATCAAGTTTTGTCAAAATCCAGCAGGAATCATGCTTTTTAGTATTTAAGAGCTATATTTGAAAGCGTTTTTAAGAACAAGGGCAGTAACTCATACTAAATATCTTTCAATTCTTCTGAATTTCAATCCTTGGGTGATAACAAACACTCATGCCAAGTTTCGTCAAAATCTGTCAAGAATTGTCCCTTCTAGTGTGTTTACAAGCTAGAAAATGAACGCGTTTTCAAGGACAAGAGCAATAACTCATACTCAATATTTTTCTATTCTTCTGATTTTCAATAGGGTTCATCTTTGGGTGATTACGAACACTCATGCCGAGTTTCGTTAAAATCCATCAAGAATTGTGTCTTGTAGAGTGTTTACGAGCAATTGTGGACGGACCGACGTAGTATTTCATGTGGGCGTATGGTAGGGGAATCAAGAAATTAAAGCTAAAGGGATGTTTGGAATTGTAACCCCCAATAAAAGCAACAGAATCGGCCATCTCAATCCCAACAGCCTATGGGGCAATGAACAAATGAAAATCAACACATTTTATACCCCACTGTTGTGTAAGCTCGCACCACAATTGTTAAATGAATAACTTAGGAGTTTGATTTTCCACTGATCGGCACCTGGCTAGCCATGACAATGGACTTTCTTGGATTACCCTTAAACTACAAATAACGTAAAAAGGTAATTTTGGCAATTTTTAGTCAAATTTGATCAGGGTTGATTGGTGTGTGTTTTACTATT